ACAACAGCACTACCCTCCTGCTGTAGGGTCCACAGCACTACCTCTGCTGCAGGGAACACTGCACTACCTCCAGCTGCAGGGACCACAACACTACCTCCTGCTGCAGGGACCACCACTACCTCCTGCTGCTGCTGGGACCAGGCACCTGCTTCAGGGACACAGCACTACCTCCTGCTGCAGGGACCACTGCACTACTCCCGCTGCAAGGCCCAGCAGCCTCCTGTTGCAGGGACCACAGCACTACTCCTGCTGCAGGCACCACAGCACTACCTCCAGCTGCAGGGCCCAGCATTACCTGTTGCTGCAGGAACCACAGTATTACCTCCTGCTGCATGGACCACAGCATTACCTCTTGGTGCAGGACCACATATTACTCCTGCTGCATGGACCACAGCATTACCTCTTGGTGCAGGGACCAGCACAACTGACTGCAGGGACCAAAGCACTAACTCCCAGCTGCAGGGACCAGCACTACCTCCTGCTGGGACCCAGCACCTCCTGCAGCAGGGACCACAGCCCACTCCAGCTGCAGGGACCCAGCACTACCTCCGGCTGGAGGGACCACCTTACCTCCGATTCTGGGACCACACCCCCTCCTGCGGCAGGGACACAGCACTACCTCCTTCTGCAGGGACACAGCACTGCCTCTCTTGCTGGACCACCACTACCTCCGGCTGCAGGGAACACCACTACCTCCGGTTGCATGGACCCACCACTACCTTCCGCTGCTGGGACCACAGCACCCTCCTGCTGCAGGGACACAGGACCACCTCCAGCTGCAGGGACCACTGCATCTCTCCTGCTGCAGAGACCACAGCACTACCTCCTGCTGCAGGGTCCACAGCACACTACCTCCTGACGCAGGGTCCACAGCGCTAACTCCTGCTGCAGGGACCACAGCACTACCTCAGCTGCAGGGACCACAGCACTAGCTCCTGCTGCAGGGACCACAGCACTACCTCCTCCTGCAGGACCCAGCACCACCCTCCTCCTGCAGAGACCACAGCACTACCTCCTCCTGCAGGGACAACAGCACTCCTTCATGCTGCAGGACCACCACTATCTGTTGCTGCTAGGACCACAGCACTACCTCCTGATGCGGTCCACAGCAGTACCTCTGCTGCAGGGACCACAGCACTACCTCCTGCCGGGGGAGCACGCTACCTCCAGCTGCAGGGACCCAGCACACTTCCTGCTGCAGGGACCACAGCACTACCTCCTGCTGCAGGGACCGCACTATCTCCTGCTGCAGGGAACCTACCTCCTGCTGCAGGGACCAAAGCACTACCTCCTGCTGCATGGACCACAGCACTACCTCCGGTTGCAGGGACCACAGCACCACTCTGCTGCAGGGACCACAGCACCTCCTGCTCCAGGAACCACAGCACTACCTCCAGCTGCAGGGACCACAGCACTACCTCCTGCTGCAGTGACCACAGAAACAAATGTCTGCTGCAGGGTTCACAGCACTACCTCCTCCTGCAGGGACCACAGCACTACCTCCTGCTGCAGGGACAACGGCACTCCTTCATGCTGTAGAGACCACAGCACTATCTGTTGCTGCTAGGATCACAGCACTACCTCCTGATGCAGGGTCCATGTAATTCACGTGTGTCTAGGTTGATCCTGCTGCAGGACCACAGCGCTACCTCCTGCTGCAGGGACCACAGCACTACCTCCAGCTGCAGGGATCACAGCATTACCTCCTGCTGCAGGGACCACGGCAGTACCTCCTGCGGCAGGGACACAGGCACTACCTCCTGCTGCAGGGACCACAGCACACTCCAGCTGCAGGGACCACAGCACTACCTCCTGCTGCAGGACCACAGCACCTCCTGCTGGGACCACCAGCACTACCTCGGCTGCAGGGACCCAGCACTACCTCCGGTGCAGGGACCACAGCACTACCATCCGCTGCGGGGACCACCTTACGTCTACTGCAGGACCACAGGACCACCTCCGCTGCAGGACCACGCACTACCTCCTGCTGCAGACCACAGCACTACCTCCTGATGCAGGTCCACAGCAATACCTCCTGCTGCAGGGTCCACAGCCTCCTCCTGCAGGGGACCCAGCACTACCTCCTGCTGCAGGACCACAGCACTACCTCCAGCTGCAGGACCATAGCATTACCTCCTGCTGCAGGGACCACAGCACCTCCTGCTAAAGACCACAGCACCAACTCCAGCTGCAGGACCACAGCACTATCTCCCTGCAGGTCCACAGCACTATCTCCTCCTGCAGGGACCACAGCACTACCTCCTGCTGCAGGGACCACAGAAACAAATTTCTGCTGCAGGGACCACATCACTATCTCCTGCTGCAGGGACCACAGCACTACCTCCAGATGCAGGGACCACAGCACTACCTCCAGCTGCAGGGACCACAGCACTACCTCTTGTTGTAGTGACCACAGCACTACCTCCTGCAGGGACCACAGCAGTACCTCCAGGTGCAGGGACCTCAGCACAACCTCCAGCTGCAGGGACCAGAGCAAAACCTCCTGCTACAGGGACCACAGCACTACCTCCCGGCTGTAGGGCCCACAGCACCACTTCCTGCTGCAGGGACCACCAGCACTACCTCCTGCTGCAGTGACCACAGCACTATCTGTTGCTGCTAAGATCACAGCACTACCTCCTGATGCAGGGAAGCAACCTATCTCTGCTGCAGGGTCACAGCTACTCCCTGCTGTTGGGACCACGCTACTACCTCTGCGGCAGGGACCGCAGCTCTACCTCCTGCTGCAGGGACCACAGCACTATCCTCCTGCACAGGGTCCACAGCACCCTCCTGCTGCAGGGACCACAGCACTTGCTCCTGCCAGGGTCCACTACTACCTCCTGCTGCAGGGACCACAGCACTACTCCCAGCTGCAGGGACCACAGCACTACCTCCTGCTGGGGACCACGGCACTACTTCCTGCTGCAGAACCACAGCACTATCTGTTGCTGCTAAGACCACAGCACTACCTCCTCCTGCAGGGACCACAGCACCACCTCCTGCTGCAGGGACCACAGCACTACCTCCTGCTCCAGGAACCCCAGCACTACCTCCTGCTGTGGGTCCACAGCACTATCTCCTCCTGCAGGACCACAGCACTACCTCCTGCAGGGGACCACAAAACAAATTTCTGCAGGGTCCACATCACCACCCTCCTCCTGCAGGACCACAGCACTACCTCCTGCTGCAGGGACAACGCTTCTCCTTCATGCTGCAGAGAACCACTATCTGTTGCTGCTAGGACCACAGCACTACCTCCTGCTGCAGGGACCACAACACTACCTCCCTGCAGGGACCACCACTACCTCCTGCTGCAGGGACACCTATTACCTCCTGCTAGAGACCACAGCTATCTCGCTGCAGGGACCTACCTCCGGTTGCAGGGACCACAGCACTACCTTCCGCACGGGACCACAGCACTACGTTCTGCTACAGGTACCACAGACCACCTCCAGCTGCAGAGACCAGCACCACCTCCTGCTGCAGAGACCACAGCACTACCTCCCTGCTGCAGGGTCCACACCAATACCTCGCTGCAGGGTCCCACAGCACTACCTCCTGCTGCAGGGACCCAGCACCCTCCTGCTGCTGCAGGGACCACAGCACTACCTCCAGCTGCAGTGACCACAGCATTACCTCCTGCTGCAGGGACCACAGCTACCTCCTGCTCCAGGAACCACAGCACTACCTCCAGCTGCAGGGACAGCCTACCTCCTGCTGCAGGGTCCACAGCACTATCTCCTCGCAGGGACCACAACTACCTCCTGCTGAGGGACCACAGAAACAAATTCTGCTGCAGGACACAGCACTATCTCCTGCAGGGGACACGCTCCTCCAGGCTGCAGGGACCACAGCACTACCTCCTGCTGCAGGGACCACAGCACTACCTCCTGCTGCAGGGACCACAGCACTATATGCTGCTGCAGGACCACAGCACTACCTCCTGCTGCAAGGACCACAGCACTACCCGCTGCTGCAGGACCACAGCACTACTCCTGCTGCAGGACCACAGCACCATCTGCTGCTGCATGGCTGCAGGGACCACAGCACTACTTCTGCTGCTGCAGGACCACAGCACTACCTCCTGCTGCAGGGACCACAGCACTACCTCCTGCTGCAGGACCACAGCACTACCTCCTGCTGCAGGACCACAGCACTACCTCCTGCTGCAGGACCACAGCACTACCTGCTGCAGGGACCACAGCACTACCTCCTGCTGCAGGGACCACAGCACTACCTCCTGCTGCAGGGACCACAGCACTACCTCCTGCTGCAGGGACCACAGCACTGCCTCCTGCCGCTGCAGGACCACAGCACTACCTGCTGCAGGGACCACAGCAACACCTCCTGCTGCAGGGACCACAGCACTACCTCCTGCTGCAGGGACCACAGCACTACCTCCTGCTGCAGGATCCCAGCACTACCTCAGCTGCAGGGACCACAGCACTACCTCCTGCTGCAGGGACCACCAGCACTACCTCTTGCTGCAGGACCACAGCACCACCTCCTGCTGCAGGGACCACAGCACTACCTCCTGCTGCAGGGACCACAGAACTACCTCCTGCTGCAGGGACCACAGCACTACCTCCTGCTGCAGGGACCACAGCACTACCTCCTGCTGCAGGACCACAGCACTACCTCCTGCTGCAGGGACCACAGCACTACCTCCTGCTGCAGGGACCACAGCACTACCTCCTGCTGCAGGACCACAGCACTACCTCCTGCTGCAGGGACCACAGCACTACCTCCTGCTGCAGGATCCACAGCACTACCTCCTGCTGCAGGGACCACAGCACTACCTCCTGCTGCAGGACCACAGCACTACCTCCAGCTGCAGGGACCACAGCACTACCTCCTGCTGCAGGGACCACAGCACTACCTCCTGCTGCAGGGACCACAGCACTACCTGTTTTTATGGGGAACTAGCCCACCTGGGCACAGGTCAACGACCACAACGAGCCTGGTGCGAAAAAAAGCACGAGAATTGAAAATATAGAATGTTATGCTGCAGGAACCACAGCACTAAGCTGCAGGGACCAGCACTACCTGAGACAGTTGCAAGAGCACGGAAACACAGCAGGCAAAGCATTCCACTGGCTGTGGGGAGCACAGAAGGAGGTACTGCATGGGTATTCTCGTGTGACCGATACCACAGACTATGGTGCACTGCTGGCAAGACTGTTACGAACTCACGGCTCTACTGGCGGTACAGGGATCCACACCCTCAACCTCCTGCTGCAGTGGACCACAGCACTACCTCCTTATGCAGGGACTACAGCACTACCTCCTCCTGCAGAGTCCACAGCACTACCTCCTGATGCAGGGACCACAGCACTACCTCCTGCTGCAGGGACCACAGCACTACCTCCTGCTGCAGGGACCATACCACTACTTCCTGCTGCAGAAACCACAGCTCTATCTCCTGCTGCAGGGACCACAGCACTACCTCCTGCTGCAGGGACCTCATCATTACCTCCTGCTGCAGGGTCCACAGCACTACCTGTTGCTGCAGGTACCACAGTACTACCTCCAGCTGCAGGGACCACAGCACTACCTTTTGCTGCAGGGACCACAGCACTACCTCCAGCTGCAGGGACCACAGCACTCCCTCCTGCTGCATGGACCACAGCACTACTTGTTGCTGCACAGCACATACTGTACGAACAGTCCGTAAATAGGGAGAATTGTCCTTACAATGACAGTTGGCACTCGGCAAATAATGGAAAGCATGAAGGTTTAACTTTGCCTCGGTGTGACTGAAAGAGGTTGTTGTTAAAGGACTTATACTTTATACACCATTATGCTCAACACAATCAGGAGATGACAGTATAGTTTCAGAAGCGTTCCAGTTTGACGTCTTATTAAAGATATTTGTATGACACTGAGCTTCCTAAACTGCTTATTAATATCAATACGATCACTTTTATATTTAGTTTTCATGTTACCCACATAAGTAAAATTCTCTCTGCTTGATATGTGTTTGGAGATATAAGCAAGCACCCTGTTTTAGCTTTGTAATACATGATGTTAATTCAGATACTCTACATTTATTTATCAACTGTTGTGGAACATAAAACTAGAGTCATGACAACATCTTAAGTAATCACAATTGTAATTTCTCAAAGGTTTGGGATTGATTGAATGAAAGATATTTCTTGTCTGATTCTGATTACATTCTCTATATCTTAATTATTCTTATTTTCATCTAAAAGTCTAGTGCGTGTTGTATCCTAAAAAATTGGTATCAATAGTTCTTTGTACTTACAGGGTGTAGAGCAGGACGTGAGGAAGCGGAATACCGAGCTGGAAGTGTGGACGGGCACTTACGGGGTACTGGAGCGACCCCAACCAATGTTCCTCAACAAAAATACTGTACCCGTGCCCGCCTACATATGGAAGGTTGGTGCAGACTTTCGGAAATGTGTGTGTGTGTGTGTACCAATATTGTGTGCATGAAACAGAAAGAGACAGTTAAGAAAGATGAAAACTGTCTGAGATGTCAAATGTTTCCACCCGTCTATTCGGCATCTCCTCAGACAGTTTTCGTCTTTGTCCACCTGTCTAACTGTCTTTTTCTATTTCTTGTACATATTTTCGGTACACACACACTAGATACACACCACAAGGGATATATATATATATATATATATATATATATATATATATATATATATATATATATATATATATATATATATATATATATATATATATATATATATATATATATACAGTATATAATTCATAGACTACAGTTACAGTGCGTATGTTGTAGCCTTTTGATGCAAAATTCAGAGTTACTGTATTAACAATATTGGAGAAAATTGTTGAGAATGGCTGTAATAACCATGTGTGACATTGGTACTTAGTAATAACTTTTTGCATTTGAAAGAACTTGTTTAAAATGTTGCTATAATTTTTACTAATACAGTAAGGTGTACGACTGTCTTGGGCAACATCATGATAAAAATAATAATTATGTGCTTGTAACAATTATCATCAAATCCTGTATATTTTCGGCAGATGATCTATGACCGTGAAAAAAAATCTACTGATATCATAGTCTTGGTCAACGACATTACTGGAAATGGAACTCTTAAAGGAGCAAAACTGAATGCCGCCCCATTTTGTACTGACAAGAATGAAAACTGTGCATGTTTTCCATGTCCAATACGGAATGTAAGAGAAGAACAAATATTCTGTTGCGACGCCAATGTCCTCAGAAATACCATCAAGTATCTACCTACAGTCCCTGCCATTCCTAAAGATGGCTTAAGGAGTTATTAACTAAATCAACACACCACACTATACAGTACGGTACACTAAATGTCGTATGTGCTTTCATTCCCTTTTACTTCCCCCCAGTCACCCAAAATGGGGAACAGAACACCGGTGAGTCTGTTTGTCTGAAACAAAAGTATATAAAACACTTATCCTCCAGTTTCAGAGCATGGTTTAAATAGATATATCTATGTATGTATATGGCACCACTGTGCCGACCCGATGAGCTTATCATACACACTTTCCTTCATATTTATTTTGTGTGGCTCTTTGACGTTGTTCTGTGAAATTTCAGTGGAACTTCACTATTAAGTTTATTAACTTTGTAATTTGTTATAAGATTCTATAAGACATGCCGCCCGACCTGCCGGTTAGTAAGCTGACAATTGGTGAGGAGAATAAAGGCAAGAAAGAATAAACCCAGCTTAATACAAATGGTGGATGTTCACTTCATTGGTGTCATGAGGTATACTGACAACTTGGTTCCAATCAGGACTAACGGGATTTCCGACTCTTGTTTACCGAACACACTGATTGGTTCAACTGCTCGCGTTGTGATTGGTTGCGAGAACGTGAGTCCATGACGTAATATTACGATTTTCTATAATAGAATGTGTGGTGAGGGGTAACGAAGATCCCAGTTACAGTAATTATATTAGAGTAGTCCTCATACTCAGTGAATTTCATTGTTCCTGTCATTAATTTTATAAATTTCTGAACAATAAACACCATTCAGAGTGTTACATTAGATTTTTTTTTTGTTTTCTTTTTTACGGGGACCAGCCCACCCGGGCACAGGTCACCGACCCACATCAGGGACCAGGGGGCGAAAATGTAATAATTATTCATGTAAATAAAATTTATAATAAAAAAAAATAATAATGATAATAATAATAATAATAATAATAATAATAATAATAATAATAATAATAATAATAATAAAAATAAAGAACTATAAAGGAAAAAAATAGTGAGAAACAATATATGTATGTTGTGTTGTCAAGTAAGAGAAACATTGAGACCCTGCAATTGTGTGTAATTGAGGCAGAAAGACAGATCAGCAACCTGGGACTTGGTCACAATTTTCGTGATACTGTGGGGTTCAGGTTGTTTGGTTCACACTCAGGATGGGATGGAGAAAGGAAACTCACGATGTGCTCTCTGTATACATGTTGTAATGGATGTACAATGCAGCTTGGTGCTGGGAAGGCAGCATGGTTACAAGCGTGATGTAGAGAGAGCTGGTTGGTGAGGATGCTCAGAGGAGGACAGCTTGTGGGTCGCCATGCTCGCCGGCGGGAGCTAGGGCCGCCAGGCAGCGGCGGAGGAGGAGGAGGAGGTGTTGCTGGCTGGTTGGTGTAGGTAGAAAGAGGGAGATCACCACAAGGTCAGGTCTTAAATAGCGGAGGTAGGCGTGGCTTAGTAGTTCACCTCCGTCATGTAAGGCGGCGCTGGTTGACCAAGACCACGAGGCATACACTGGGGAATTCGCGGGGTCGGCTACCCAGCGACAAACAGCGTTTGTAGGGGAGAAATCCACTACAATACCATAGCAGCAGGGTCTACCATTAGACAGCACATTATGTTTCCAATATCTTCCCAGGCGGTAATACCTCCCTGTTTGATAGCTGCCTACTACCTACTACCTACAGTGGCTCCAATTAAAATAACAAAAAATCTCCATTCCATACATATATTGTACAACTTTTAATACCATCATAAGCCTACCTTGGGTTCCAATAGCACTGTTCGTCATTGACGTCACACAGTTGTGGGCGGAGCTTCTGGGTTACCACATGGTGGCGGTGTGTAAGACAAACAAAACACTGTTTACCCGTTACCCTCGATAATAAATTCAAATAACCACTCCACTTATTATCTTATTCATTATAAGATGCAGAGCAGAATGCACTAGCAATAACAACTTCTCAGCATTATGAACTATATATTTCAATTGAGATGTTTGTCGTCTGTTCCAAGTGCCGCTTTTCTGCCGCGCTGGTGCCACGTCTTCTCAAATCTATTTTAGTAACATAATGGAATGACGAACTGTGTGTTATAGGGGTCATATATCATAAACCCCACCTACACTTCCCCCCTCTCTTGATATTAAATTTACTGTAGCATTGCTCTTGGAAACGTGCGCGTATAGAAGAAAGGCACAAGTGCTCTTAAAAGTTTGATAGTACAAAACGCATGTGTTTCATAGAGCACATGTGTACGTAATAGCACAATAGCGCATACGTTTCTTAAAGCACAAGACTACACATTTTATTTATACAAGACCACATGTGTCACATCACAAGGAAACATGTGTTACAGAAAAGGTTCTCATTCCCCTCATTGAGAAAAGACTGAGTGAGACTGATAGTGATGTGAGGGTTGTATTTTCGCACCCAGTCCCCGATATGGGTCAGTGACCTATGCCCGAGTTTGCTAATCCCCGTAAAAAATAAATAAATAAATATAACTCAGTTTATGTTTAATTATAGTCACATAGTTATTATCTTTAGAATAAGTACACGAATGATTAAGGCATACAGTATAATGAAGCTAAGTGAATAAGGTATATAATAAAGGCTTATAATCAAGGATGTATAAACAAGGAATGTAATCAAAATTTAGTAATTAATCAAGGTAAGAAATTTTAATCATTAAAGGAGAATAAATATTAACGTGAATATAAGTTAATAATAATGGTGGATAATTAAGACATAATTGAAGTACTATACATAACCAAGTTAAATATTCAAAGCGCAGTATAATTATGATAAAGATAAATAATTAAGGTAGATAATTAAAATATCTATTATGGTAGGGTAATCAAGATCATACACAATTAAGGTTCATAATGAAGGTAATTAATTAAGGTATAAATTTAAGGTATATAGTTACATAATGAATATTGTGCTTAGATAACATATATCTATACAGTAAATATTGTTCATATACAGTAAATGTTGTTCCCAGACAGTAAATGTTGTTCATATACAGTAAATGTTGTTCATATACAGCAAATGTTGTTCCCATACAGTAAATGTTGTTTTGTGTGCAGCCAATGTTATTCACATACAGTAAATGTTGTTGATATACAGTAAATGTTGTTGCTATACAGTAAATGTTGTTCCTATGCAGTAAATGTTGTTCCTATACAGTAAATGTTGTTCCTATGCAGTAATGTTGTTCCTATGCAGAAAATGTTGTTCCTATATAGTAAATGTTGCTCCTATACAGTAAATGTTGTTCCTTTGCAGTAAATGTTGTTCCTATACAGTAAATGTTGTTCCTATACAGTAAATGTTGTTTTGTGTGCAGCCAATGTTATTCACATACAGTAAATGTTGTTGATATACAGTAAATGTTGTTGCTATACAGTAAATGTTGTTCCTATGCAGTAAATGTTGTTCCTATACAGTAAATGTTGTTCCTATGCAGTAATGTTGTTCCTATGCAGTAAATGTTGTTGATATACAGTAAATGTTGTTGCTATACAGTAAATGTTGTTCCTATGCAGTAAATGTTGTTCCTATACAGTAAATGTTGTTCCTATGCAGTAATGTTGTTCCTATGCAGTAAATGTTGTTCCTATACAGTAAATGTTGCTCCTATACAGTAAATGTTGTTCCTATACAGTAAATGTTGTTCCTATACAGTAAATGTTGTTTTGTGTGCAGCAAATGTTATTCACATACAGTAAGTGTTGTTCCTATACAGTAAAAGTTGTTCCTATACAATAAATGCTGTTCCAATACAGTAAATGTTGTTCCTATATAGTAAATGTTGTTCCTATGCAGTAATGTTGTTCCTATGCAGTAAATGTTGTTCCTATATAGTAAATGTTGTTCCTATACAGTAAATGTTGTTCCTATGCAGTAAATGTTGTTCCTATACAGTAAATGTTGTTCCTGTACAGTAAATGTTGTTTTGTGTGCAGCAAATGTTATTCACATACAGTAAGTGTTGTTCCTATACAGTAAAAGTTGTTCCTATACAATAAATGCTGTTCCAATACAGTAAATGTTGTTCCTATACAGTAAATGTTGTTGCCTACTCCTCTCCTATCCTCTTCACCAAATGATCGGCTCGTTAGCCGCTTGGGCGATCGGTCACGTCTCTGAACCTGCTCCAGTGTTGATCAAGTCTGGTCCTGAAAGAACTGACACTTGGTGCCGTCACAACACTTTCTGGTCTGGTAGATTGTTCCAAGAGTTCACAACTCGCACTCCGAAAAAGTTTGCCCTCACAGTTTTCTGGACCTGTGGTTTTTCATCTTGAGCTGTGACCCCTTGTGGGACGAGCGTCCGCCAGCTCCAAGTTAGGACACTCGACTGAGTAGTGCCCCCTAAGATGCTTATACACCTCAATTAGGTCACCCCTTGCCCGCCTGTAGTACAAGAAAGGCACGTTCAGGCGCTCCAATCTCTCAGGGTAGTTGAGGTGCCGAAGTGCAGGCACCAGTCTGGTGGCCCTCCTTTGAACATTTTCAACCAACTGACAGTCCCTAGCATATCTCGAGGACCAGACGGGGTGACAATACTCCAGATGGGGAAGCACTTCACTCTTGAAGATCGTTACGAGGGACGGGCCGTCTAGATATCTGAACGACCTTCTTCTAAGACCCAATTATTTATTTGTCTGATTTACCTTCTTCTCGCAATGACCCGAGAACTTCCGCTCATTGTCAACATACACACCTAGTTCCTTCTCACATTGTCTCAAATAGTGCTGTTTCTTCATCACGTTGGGACATATGATACGCCTCCTTACCGTTGGTACGCCCCAGGTGCATCCTCTTAAACTTCGTGATACTGAATCTCAGCAGCCATTTCTTCGACCATTCTTGGAGCTCAGAGATCCTTCTGCGGCGCTTCATAGTCCGCAAGATTCTTGATTTCCCGAAATAACTTGGCGTCATCGGCAAACATTTGTATGGAGGAGTGTACAACGTCAGGCATGTCATTTATGAAACAAACAAACAACAGAGGGCCCAATACACTGCCCTGTGGTACACTGCTTGCGGTCATGTAGAAAGTCTTCTATAAACGCTGGGACATTTCCCCGAATTCCGTACCCTTCCAGTTTGATTTTCAGCCTTTCGTGGGGTACACTGTCAAAAGCCTTGGCGAAATCTAGGTATATATTGTCGATATTACCACCCTGTATCCAGTAAATGCAGTTTCCATACAGCAAATGTTGTTTCTATACAGTATATGAACCCTGGACCTCTGCTTGTGAATAGGAATCGCTACCACCGCACAGCCGACAATAAAATATAGTGAGGTATTGCTTGTATATTGAAGTCCGCGTGCTATATTGACTGATGAGACATATATGTAGCCTCGTGTATCCTATCTGGACTCGGGAAAATGATACTACGATCATATAGTTGGCACGGGCAATACCCGATGGAGATTCACGTTACCTTAAGAAACAAAACGAATGAACAAGCTTTGTACGAACTATCTACAAATCCTCGGATTGCTTTTGTTGTCCTTGTGGCGTGGTTGTAGCGGTCCCTGCTCACACGCAGAGGTACAGGGTTCAATTCCCGACTAGTGAGGTAGACATCATCACTTGAGAATTAAGAGAGATACATGTCTTATGGTTTCATACGAATGTTTTGAGGAGGATGAACAACAAGCTAGTTTACCGACCATTGTTGTAAGTTCATGATCCTCGTAGACGAGATTCAAATGAGTTTTTCAATTCAATTCAGTTCTCGATTCCCCAGTTAAAGCATGTAAACAATACCTAGTACACCATGAAAC